CCGGCAAACATTCGTGTCCCAAGGCTCCCTTGGCCGAGCACGAAACATTCTGGTCCTTCGAGCCGGATCGAAGCCCTTTATTCGGCTACGAGGAATCATTTCTGAATCATGGAGACGCTGTTAGAAGGTCAGTCTATGCGGTTCCGAGTCATCGAACGCGCATTAGACAACTTCAAAAAGCTGGGCAGAAAGAATCTGACCGCGGCGAAAATCCGCAATCAAATCCAGACGTTGAAGGAGGACTGGGAAGAGGCGAAGGGTGGACATCGTGCTCTCCTGGCTGCTGTCCCCGTCGCAGAGCGCCCCGGTTACGAGTACTTCCAGAGCCTGAGGTTCGAAGCCACCCAGGAGATGTATCAAACCGCATCCGATCACATGGCCGAGTGCCTTGAAGAACTGGAGCCGTACGTACCCCCGAATCAATCATTTAGTTTCGGACAGCAGTCCCCGGGATTTTCGTCCGCCTATTCGATCTCACATTTACCGCCGATGAAACTTCCTCCGTTCGACGGGAAGTATGAGGAATGGGAGAGTTTCCGCGATCGATTTACGTCTCTTATTCTTAATAATAAAGATTTATCGAATTTTACGCGAATGCATTACTTAATTTCATGTCTCACAGACCGCGCTCTTGATTGCGTAAAAGATATACGAGTCACCGCCGATAATTTCGATATCGCGTGGGAAACTCTAAACACGCGTTTCGAAAACAAACGCCGCTTGATTAACGTGCATATGACTGCGTTGCTCAATTTGCCCGCAGTCGCGAAAGAATCCGCGATCGAGCTACAGTCCCTCTCTGACCGCATTCACACCGCTGTCGCGGCTCTTAACAAGTTAAATCGTACTCCGGAGGAGCTGTGGAGCGACATGTTAGTGAGTCTCGGGACGCAGAAACTCGACGCGGTTACAAAAAAGGCATGGAATCTCAAATTCAGCGAGGACCGGAATCCTCTCTCTTACGAAGCGTTTAATAAATTTCTGGAGAATCGAATTCGCGCTCTAGAGGAATGGAAACTCTCCCCTTCGTCCTCCGATAAAGCGAAAAATGCAAATCCGCATAAAGTCAGTAGCGCGAACGTATGCGCGAAGGCCGTATCGCAGTGTTCGCTATGCAAAGCTAAACATGCGTTCAGCTCCTGTCCGCAATTCGCGGGGAAGAGTCCGAGTCAACGACGTGAAATCGTTCAACGGGAACGACGTTGCTTTAATTGCCTGAGCCAACATCACGCCGTCAAGGCATGCTCGAGCAAATTCCTCTGCCGCATGTGTCAGAAACCACATCATACGATGCTTCATGTTGACTCCGACTCTCCCCCGAAAACCGAGGCAGTAACCCCGGCGACCGACCCACCGAGGGCCGTCGACGCAACAACAAGCGAAGTAAACTCACTGTTAGCGTCTTCACAGACTCCTTCGCGTTCTTATGTTTTGCTCGCAACGGCTTGGGTCACCGTAAGCTCGCCGCTCGGTAGATCTGTTATTGTTCGAGCTCTGCTCGATCAAGGTTCCGAGATGAGCTTCATTACCGAAAAACTCGCGCAGTGTCTCAGGCTGAAACGCGTTCGAATGCCGACCTCGGTTTCGGCTGTCGGCGGTATACACGCCGGAACATATCAACACGCGGCTCAAGTAAATCTTTCGCCGAGAAACAAACAGACTCCGGCATTCTCTACGCACGCGTTAATCCTGAAATCGTTAACGTCATACGCGCCGAAGCGTATGACAACGGAGCATACTTTAGATCACCTAGCAGATCTCCCATGGGCTGACCACGACCCCATGAGCGCAGATCCCATCAATATAATAGTCGGTGCAGATCTCTACGGCGTCCTCATGATTGACGGGCTTTGCAAGGGAGCGGTCGGACAGCCGATCGCTCAAAACTCAGTACTAGGATGGGTGATCTCGGGGCCCATCCCACCTTCAAAGGTGGAGTCGCATATTACGTCGATCGCATCATCGGAACAACCGCTTCTGCGGGTGAACGCACATCACTGCCTTAATCTGTCCCTCGATCAGGAGCTTAGAAAATTCTGGGAGGTCGAGGAACTTCCGCATAAGACACATCTTAACCCGGAAGACGAGCAATGTGAGGACCATTTTCGCCGCACCCACTCACGTTGTCCCGACGGCAGATACATGGTCCGCCTTCCGTTTAGGGCCGGTCCCCCTATCGAAATAGGTCATTCCCGAGGTGTCGCCGAGCACCATCTCAAAGGCTTAGCTCGAAGATTAGATGCTCATCCGGAGCAAAAACGGGAGTATTCCGAATTTTTACGCGAGTACGAAACCCTCGGGCATATGATCGAGGTGCCCGCTTCAGATGACGCGGACGAGCAACGCGTTTACATCCCGCATCACGCGGTCATGCGCGAAAGCAGCGCCACGAGTCATCTGCGCGTCGTCTTCAACGCGTCTTGCGCAACGTCAAACGGGTCCTCGTTAAACGACCATCTCCTGGTCGGACCCAAACTTCAACCTGATTTATCGGCTATCATCCTGCGATGGCGACTATTCAAGTACGTGTACACGGCCAACATGACTAAAATGTATCGGCAAATTCGTGTCGACCCGCGTGATGTAACGTATCAACGCATTCTGTGGCGCGAATGTCCTAATGATCCGCTTCGCGAATACAGCCTTCTCACCGTCACATATGGTACCGCGGCCGCTCCGTACTTAGCGCTTCGCGTACTCGATCAGTTGGTAAACGACGAAGGACAGGCATTTCCCTTAGCTGTTCTCATACTCCAGAAAGGGAAATATATCGACGAAACTCTCTTCGGCGCGCATCGCCCCGAGGACCTCCGTATCGCCCGCGATCAACTCATCGCCCTCCTACGGAAAGGTGGCTTTGAGTTAAGGAAATGGGCCAGTAATAATTCGGAGCTCTTGTCGGACATTGATCCCGCGAATCACGGACTCGCGTGCAACAAAATTTTGAAAACGGATGAAAGTTTGAAAATCCACGGGGTCAGTTGGAACCCGGCGCTCGATATCTTTCAATTTCAAACGGCTACCGACGCCCCTGCTCCGCAAACAAAGCGATCGATTCTTTCCGCGATCGCGAAACTGTTTGACCCGCTCGGTTGGGTGACTCCCGTCACGATTACTGCGAAAATTTTGATGCAACGGTTGTGGCGTCTTAAGTTCGAGTGGGACGACACGCTCCCTCAGGACATATTGCGCGAGTGGAAACCGATTTACCATCAATTATCCGCGCTCAACGAGCTACACTTGCCGCGGTGGACCGGTCAAGAGTCGGACTCTGATCGTTGCGAACTGCACGGCTTCGCCGATGCGTCTAACGTCGCGTACGCCGCCGCTGTCTACCTGCGCGTAATCTCCAAATCTGGCCGTATAACTATATCTCTGCTTATGGGAAAATCAAAAGTCGCTCCGGTGAAAACGTTAAGCGTTCCCCGGTTGGAGCTACTCGCTGCGTTGCTACTCGCGCGCGCAATGACTTTCGTTCGCGAATCGATCAGGATCGATTCCTCCGCGTGCTATTGCTGGATCGACGCAGAAGTTGTGCTTGCGTGGTTACGTCAACACCCGTCGAGATGGAAGACTTTCGTCGCGAACCGCGTCGCTGAGATTCAGTCCCGTCTCCCCGATGTGACTTGGCGTCACGTGTCGACCGCCGAAAACCCAGCAGATTGTGCATCGCGCGGAATACTCGGGCACGAACTCGCAACTCACCCACTATGGTGGCAGGGACCACCCTGGCTCAAGGCCCCCGCGACGCGATGGCCCGAGGGTCTTCCCTCCCCCCTGACGGAAACTTCCATAGAAGAAAAGATTGCCACCACGCACGCGGCGAGAGTCCCCACGCCGTGGGATCTTGCCTCACAATATTCGGATTGGGCTAAACTTATTCGAGTCACCGCGTATCTCATTCGATTCGTCTCCTGTCGCGGGCACTCTAAAAAATTCCCCGCT